TAGGGAAAGCGATAAGATGTAGGCAGTGAAATGACCCACGCAAGGGAGAAAGGCCCTGCTCCTTTGCTCCAAAGCAATGGATGCACACTTGAGGAAAATCTTCTTACAGCCAAGACAGTAGATTAGTACTTAGCAGACTCAAGCAACTGAACCTCCAGGGTGTGTGCATGATGTTATTTTAGATGTGGATAGTGGTCAGTAACACCTTAAAGGCCCAAGAGGTGCTAAGCCAACACAGAAAATCAGTAGCATTACAGACAACCCAAATAAAAAACAATTAAAAAAACCACACTGTACACACATAAAAATGTACGTAAGCATACAAGATCAAAGAGTTTGGCTATATTTGCACAGTATATAGAACAACTGGAATGGTTTACACACAACTAGCTTTTTTTTTTTACCTTGAGAATAATTAGGAAGGATTCAAGATGCCTAATTCCACTTCCAAGTAGTATCAGGCACTAGCTAAACTGTACTGCAAGCATCAACAAAACTTGCATTTCCTGTTCTTAAACTTTTGATGCTCTCAGTTTTAACTGCTGAACTTTGAGATAGAGATCATAGTAACTGCAGCAGAACAGAACAAAGGGAAGGGAAGTGCAATTGAAGCACAAGCTTAAACTAAAGCAGTAAACTGCATGTCATGGATGTGCTTTTACTAAAAGGACATGAAAAGGACATTATAAGGGATTCAAAGCATTTGGGGGTGGGTAGGGGGGAGGAAGATACAACACTTGAAATAAATATTCCACAGAGAGAAAATATCTAATAATTTATTGACCTTCAGTTTCACATTGTGAAAAAAAAAGCAAGTTTTACAAAACCTTAAGATGTAGTAGCAAACAAAAAGACATAACATAGACAATTTCACTTCTTCACTTGCACAATTTCCTTTTAGCACAGGAACCATATCTTCAATAGCCAGGAAAGGGAACATTATTCTGCTCTAATCACTCTTATTCAGACAGGTGTCAGGCCTAGAGAAAAGGGGCTGCACAATTATACCAGAAGAGGAAGGCTGTCCTTTGTTGTATGTTTCTACAGCAACCAGCCTGCAAAATAAGAGGAACCTTCCTGTCTTATGCCAGGGTTTTTGTGTGCACTCCACTGTGAACTGCATTTGCTTTAAAGTGTAGGGTGTTTTGCAGGATTGGAATGGTCAAGTAGCCAGCCAGGATTCCCACATCAATTCAAAGAGCTAGGGTTTAGCATATTCCCTGCAGAGGCAGAGGCCCACCCTGACTTCAACTTCCTCAGCCTACACACAGGAATTAATTGAGGACCTGAAAGCAGACCATAACCTTAGAAACAGCTGTGAAAAATCCACCCTACTTTCGGAAGCTGCACAGTGCTACAAAACACATTTCATAAGCTAAGCAGTTAGATGCAGTGCAGCTTCACATCTGGACTCTTAACCACCTTGACAGAGAATACAGGTCTCAAACCTATTTACCCTTACTCAAAACAAAAGGAGCCCTGCGGACCTGGTTCTTTGCTTCCCTGTAGCTCACGCAGTCACTAGTTGCTGGGACAGGGACCTGCAAAGCAGAGCTCAGGCTCCCCTTGAACTCCCAGGAATGACTGGTGAGATGAGGGGCAGTTCAAGGCTGTTCACTTCAACCAGACAACACCTGCAATACAGGGATATACAAAGGAGACCTACCCTATCTAAGATGTTTTCCTACTGTTTAAAAGACATCTAAAAGAAAAGAATCAATGCTGGGGTAGGGGGGAAGGCTGTGGGTTTACATATTTTTATAATCTATCATTTCAAGAAATAAGTTTAACCAGAGGAACTATAACCGTTCACATTTAGCTAGGCCTCACCCTTTAAAAGACCACTAATGCCTTTGCTAATTAATCAGTGTTCTCTCAGCATTCACAGAACTCCAAATACTATTTCTGAAATGTAAGAGTCTACTCCAAACAGCAAGTCAAACGTAAGGCAACACAAAGAAACTTCCAGTGACCAGTGTAAACACTTTCAGATGACAAAGCCTTCACAAATACAGCTACATCACTGTCACACAGAGAAACGCAAGCATGACTGATGTGACTTATTTTTATTTTGCATGCACGCATGCAGCTGCGCAGCACACACCAACCATGTTACTGAATGTGTCAGTTAAGAAAAAACACAATACAACACATGCTTCATAACAGGATCTGGCAAAGAAAGCACCTGTGAAACATCAGCTTCTGAAATCCAGACAGAGGAAAAATTAAAAAAAAGAGTCGCTTCATCTCTGTCTCAAGAACAGACTAATAAGAAACAAATTTATTTAAAAATCAGTTTCTCAGGATTGTATCTGACGCTTCTCAGCAACCAAGTGTTTAAAGACACACTTGGCTAAGGAAAACAAAAGGCAGCAGAGTTTGAGGGCTATAATTAAGAGGTTTAAAATTCAATTTTTATCCCCATAAGAATTTTGCCAGAGCAGTTGAGTCCTTGACACCTGGCCATTCAGATGATCATCTGAAATCCAGATGGACGAGGCAATCCAGTCAGTGCAAAATTGCTGCTCTTCTTTTTTCTTTTTTAAGACTTCATCAGTATCTTGAGGTTTTTTGTTTTCATTCTTGAATCACCATACTCCACTCATTCAGGTCAATGTGGCTATATAGTAGGTACCCTTCCTCCAACCCAATAAATAAATAAATAACTTTGGACAATGACTTCACGTGGGCTTGGTATCCAGAAGCTCTTCCACAGTATTTGCATTGCAATCAGGAAGCTGCACAAAGAGAACGCTGCAAGATATTTCAGCTATTTCCAGATTACAAATTGAAAGGCATGACCAATAAATGAAATGTAGCAAGTACATCTACAAGACACACCACATTCAACCTGGTGAGCTGGTGGCCTGAGAAAGTGACCTCCATGGCTTCTTCCTTTCGTATATGTGTAATTTAAGACACTGCCTTATAACACTTCCATTTCCGACCTGGAAGTCACCCCTCCCTCCCACCTCGAACTCGTATCCAATAGTTTTCTTTCTTTGTGCAGCAGAGCAAGTCAGCGATCACAAGATGTGCAAAACATACAAAAACTCACACAAGCCCTTGCAACATGAAGACAATTGCAGGCATTATTTCAGCATGCAAGCACTGAACAATAAATAACTGTATCTACAACAAATAACAGGAATGGGACAGTTTGAATTACTTATAAATACAGGGAGGAAAGAGAACGAGGAGCATTTGGGAGATATTGTCATTCCCCACTGTTGCAAAAACGTTTCACTCCTGGGCTGTTCCTTATCAATCACAAGGTAAATCACTGCACACGAGGCAATTCAATGCCATATCCAAGAGACGCCATAGGCACTGTCCAAGAGCAAGCACGATCCGGTTAGCAGAGTTCAGCAGCAGCGCTCCTTATCTTCATTCACACTTGCTCTTTCAGACCCATCCTTCTTCCCCTGCAGCTGGCACTGGGTCTTCAAACCACCACAAAGAGAAGTGACAACCATTTCAAATTTCACATACAAACAGAGCAGTCCATGGAAATCAAGTCCTATGTGCTGCGCAGCTCCGAGAAGCTCTATGTCATCTTTTTCTCCTTCAAAGTACTGATTAATATTGGCATTAATCCACAATTACTACTAGCACAAGGACCAGATCACAGGTTCATCCATTCATATTTAAACGACGTGCTGAAGCACTGAAGACAAGTTTTTTCATCTCATTCCTTCATGTCTAGGTTAGGTAATTTACAAGGTGCAGACGATTTTCTTCAAATGCAAGAGACACTGAATGATCTTTCTTCATTAAAATCAGATCTGAGGTTCCAATTCTCTTCTCCAAATAAAGGAGTACACTAAATGCGTTTTTTTGAGGGAGAGAAAAGACTTTAAGTGTTTTGCTGAGACAATCTATCATAAGGTATTTGCTAGATGTCAAAGAATATCTAAAAGCTAGGCTTAGGACACAATCCAGTTGTTTGGCTTCCCCTCCTCCCCACCACTTCTGTGTTCCTGTGCGATAGCTAACTACTGATAAATAAGCCAGCTAACAACATCATTAATTAGAGCCAGGTTCTGCCTTTATTATTCTACTAGCCTTACTCTGCAAACCATCCTACTGACCCTAGAAAGAATGTTTAATTTTTTTTGCTATAGACTCAGTCATTTGAAATCTAAATCAAACTTCCCTAATACAGTTCAGCATGATGGCTCTGCATCCTACATACTTCAACATTTGTATTTTCTTCAGAAACCTAAAAGGTTTGTAGATTTGTTTTACACAAACGTAACTTTATGCAATTTCTCTTTCACAAAAGCCTACATGAACACTTAGTGCAAGGAGTTTTTTTCTATCCCTCAGCCAAAACAAACCTGGTTGGAATAAAGAAGGGGAGGTGAAGGTGTCTCATCCCAGTGAAGAACTCTGGAAAGAATTTATTCACAATAAACAAAGGGGCCTATAACTGCCATACTTAAATCATATCTACTATTCACTAGAGCAGAGGTCTGCCTTATTTCGTGCCACACAACAACGCACCACATATCAGTAATACCATTCTAGAGTCCTTCATAAAAATTGATTCTTCAATGAGAAATTTGGATGCCGAGATTGTAGTTTGCTTTTTCACTATGAAACTGTATTAAAATGCCAGCTTTCAAATCATCAGCAGCTCATCTCAAGTAATTCTGACAGCACTGCTAGAATTTTAGGAAGCAAATCCTATACTATTACAATGCAAAGGAACTCCAGTGAACTCACAGTTCATTTGGACATACCAGATTTCTCTCAAGCTGTGATGTCTAAGAGCAGGGAACACTCACAGGAAACATCACAGTCTGCATAAGAGATCACAGCACGAACCTTTTTTACAACTATGGGCTTGAAACACACTATCTCCACTACATCTAAAAAAAAGTCTCTGCACTTAGCGTTGATTAGTCTTTTCTAGACATTCTTTAGCATAACGTGCTGTTCTTCCCACTAAAACAGACTGTCAACACTGAAGCCAAAAGGATGTTCGCCAGCATGGGATGAACTTTAAAAAAAAAAATTATAAACAACATTGAAACAGAGGGGACAAAAACATAATCCTCAACCTACTCAAAATCCCGTTTGAGGAACAAGATAAAGCAGACTGAAGTCTTCCTAAAAGCTGTCAGACTGGGGCCACACAGCACCATGAAAATAGAGGGTAATCAGAAGTAATTTCCTTTTTGTCCCTCCCACCCACTGACAAAGCAGCAGGAGTCAGTAGGGAAAAAAATCCAACTTGCTGGATGAGCACACAGCACTGGAGAGATTTCAGTCTATGGCTGCGTTCAGCCAGTTATCTTGTGTGCTAGTGAAGCTAAAATAATGGCTTCTAACAAGATACTGCAGAGCAAAGGAAAGTTTTTGCACCGTTACATTCTGAGGACTCTTTTTCAAAATAAAACACTCCCTCTCATGTACTATAAACTTCAGAACGACCAAGTCAGCCTCAGAAGAATAAGTCAATATTTTTCTTGGCACAGACCTGAGTCTGGGCATTCAATACCACTGCTCTAATAACACAGAGAACTGCTGAAAGTCAGTAATAATAAAAATTAACTGAAGACATCAAGATGTTGATCCTAGCTAGCCACCATACAGAAATCAGGGCTTCCATTTGCTGGCTGTTGGGGTGGAATTACTACCAGCACCCAGGATCTGGTAAGTCTCAATGGTTTGTCCTGGTTCCCCAAGAGTAAGCCCAGGAAAAACAAAGGAAGGAGAGGAGAGAGGACATCGTCTTCAAGACAAATAACCACCTGAGACAAGAGCAGCTGACAGCACAACATAGCCCAATTTCACACTAGATTTCCATGCTGACCTGCTGCTTTGCATGGGCCTAACCTTGTATTCTTTATTCAATCAAAGCTCCCAGTCAGCTGAAAGACAACTACAAGATGAATCCTCAGTGTACCACAGAGAAGAGAATTTCACAACTACCCTACATTTCTAGGTATACTTTTCTATCTACATTGCTTCAAAGGCGTTTGGGTTTCATGTTTACTGCAAGAGTCAGGCAAATGTCTCCATCTGCAAAAGACACCAGGGAAAAAAAAAATTATCTATCCCAAACAGAAGAACCTAGGGAAGTCTTTATACACAAGCTGTTCTTATTTTCTGGACAACGTCCATTAGTCTGGACTTTTAGGTAACTTTAATGCAAATACAGAGCTTGTTTAACTACTGCAACTGTATTTGTTTGCCTTGTTTCTTCTAACTTGTCTGCCTTCGTGATTACACCACATACTGTCCAAATCTAAAAAGAAATTACCACTCACATAGATTATTTGGGATTAAGTCACTGTATTTGTTTGGTTGTCTGGTGGTAACTGTGTTTCCTTACTGAAGTCTCAAGGAGGGGAAAAGAGTAACACAATACTAAAGGGAGTCTGCCAGATTTGTTGCAAAATACAGATATTAATAGTTCTGAAAAACTTCAGTAACTTAAGTGATGTAACTCTAGAAAAGACAAAAATAAGGAAGAAACAGTAATAGTTAAAGTAACAGTTAGCATAAAAAAAAAAGATCTGAAAAATATTGGCAATATGTGTATGCACCCAGATTTTTAGTGGGATTTTTTATTAATCTTTTATCCCTTCCTCCTAAAAATCAGAAATTCACAATAACTAAACAAGCAAGGCCGAATTCAGGCTTGCTTGTGAGAAGATACAATGCTGAAGTTGCATCTGGTAAGAGGTTGCCCATTATATATAATTAAATTGTTTTGGAACAGTGTGTGCTATAGACTGGTAATTATTCCGGCCAGCAATATTAATTATATGTCTCCCTGACACTATATCTAGTCCAACATATATGACCATAACTATTTTGAAAAATCTGTATTTTAACATATATCGCTAGAGCTAATGCAACCTAGTCCGTGCAGATGCAACCATGCTGTCTAGGCAAGGTGGAAAATTAGGTCTGAAGTACCTGTAGAACACCTTTTATAAGAAAGCAAGTTTCCCCAAAGGCTGTCTGCATGGAGAAAGCATGCAGTCTGCCTGGAAATTCAAGTGATTTTACTATCAGGCTTCAGATCTGAATTTACAGTATCTTTTTTGGGGCACTGTTACTGGATATAGTGACTTAGCCTCTGTCATCAGGATGCAGACCCCTGATTAGCACGCATTTAGTATTTAAATGTAGAGTAGGATTCAATTCCCAAAAGTTACCTGCACAGCAGTATTTTGGAAGTCAAAGTGTTATTTTTTGCTCAGTTCTTTACACATAAGTCATACACGAAAACGCCCCATAAAAAGAAGTGGGTGCAAGATATGTGGCAAACTACTTCCAGCATCTGGCTTTGTCACAGATGCGGTGTCTGTCTTCCAACAGCCCCTGAATGTACGCATGCGTCTCAGTTGCGCCAGCTGTAAAACTGGATTGAATATACTCACCCTCCACAGAGTGCTGCTGAAAAGCTTTCTGAAAGGCATTATTACAGTGGAATTAAAAGGTGCTATTTCTTACCTGATCATTTGTAACTGCAACACAGACACAATTACGAGGGGAGGTGCTTCCATGTGCTGACAAATGCCGTGGGAATTAATGAATAGGGCACAGTTGTTATGCTGTTCCACACATCTAACGTGGGATCATAACAGTCAAGCGTTTTGCACCTCTGAATGCCAAAGTAGCCTCCAACCACGTACAACTTGTTTCCAGATGCCACTGCGTGGCAGCTCATTCGCTTAGCTGTCACATCTCCCACCTTAGTCCACTGGTATGCCTCACTGTTGAATTTATAAGCAGAGCATGCAGAGAATTCAGTATCTCCACCCATAATGAAAATCTGGTTACCCAGAACAGCTGCAGCGGTGTAGCGCCAGGGCTGTGGGCAGGTGGCTGGTACCGTCCATCTGTTTTCACACTGATCATAGCACTGTACTTTGGGCAGCTTGTCATGGCTAACGCTGGTACCTCCAAAAGCAAACAGCTTGAGCTTTGCACTGACTACAGCTGCATTGCTTACACCCTCACGCAGTGGGGCAACCATAGTCCATTTGTTGGTCACGGGGTCGTATTGTTCTACTTGCTTTAGGGATACTGAAGGGGAAGCTGGAAGGCAACCAGTTGCTGCAGTGTGTCCTCCTACCACGTACAAACAGTGCTTAAGTTCAGCAGAGCCATGCCCAAATCTAGCTACTAGCATCGGAGCAGCCTTTGACCACTCTTCATGAAGGGTGTCATACACCCACACATCTTTAGAGACTCCGTTTTCTGACCCTCGTCCTCCGGTGATGTACACTTTGCAGCCTATGGCACAAGCACTGAACTCCTTCCGTGGACTTGGTATGTCAGCCTTTGGAATGATCTCCTTTGCCTTTTGGTCCACCAGGTACAGCTTGTCACACATAAAGGTTTGGCCACCCAGAAGAAAAAGAGAATGGCCAGTTTTACGGGGTCTGGCACACAAACTAGTGACCACTCCATCATTTTGTAAGATCTTTAACTTGCATCTTATCGATTCTTCCACAATCTCTTTGCTTTTCCTTTGCTTGGTGATAAGTTCTTCCATAGCTACATTTTCCATTAGGTATATGGCTGGCAAGAGGGCCAGTCTCACTGTCTGCAATAGCTCAGGCAGATAACAGTGACGTTTACTCAGGTCATAGTTGACCCAGCTGATAGCTGATTCATATACTAGCCTTTCATCTTCAGTTTCTAGTTCTTCACTGGAAAGGAGCTGCACTACCATGTCTTTTGGCAGCTGGAGGAAATCTTCGCCTTTACTGATGCTCTGGAAGTTGCTAAGGCACATCCTCCAGGATAGCTCGTACAGCTTGGTGCACTGGTGAGCATCTGACAGCAGCAGCATACCAAGACAGTTGGTGGGATGAAGGTTTTTCTCCAGAAACTCTGCACAAGCATCCCGAATGTCCTGAAACTCCAGCATGTCACCAGCCTCCAGCAGTGACTCTGCATTCTCCTCATTGATGATAACCCTGGAGGAATACGCATAGTCCAGAAGAAGCTCTAAGACTTCTGGGTGAATCGAATTATGGAAGTTGACTTCACTGTCCTGGCTCTCTTTCAGTCCTCCACTGAACATTGCTTCAAAATAGCGGCTACAAGCAGCTAGGACGGCTCTGTGGCAGGGGAATGACCTGTTCCCAGCATGGAGAAGTACATCTGTAAAGAGACGCTGCTGACGCAGAAGGTTCAGGTGAGTAAGGACACTATCAGCATAGGATGACTTGTGGAACAAGTATATATTTATAGAGCCAGTACTGGCCCTAGATTTGCGATTTTCATGCATGCTGACCGACATTTTCTTTCACACCTAGAAACAACGGAAAAAAAAAACAACAGTAAGACTAATGAGACAGTAAAATTCATTATTATTTTTACATATCAAAAAGTCTGTTACTCACTACAATACAGGGGGAAGTCTTCATTTACAGACCAGTGGCCAGCGAATTTCATCTACCTTTGGCATGTGTTTATTTTTTTGTAATAAGAGTTTCATAAATTACATACTCTAAATTCATTGCCCAAGAGCAGGTTTGTCTTGGGAAACCTGATCTCCAACTTTCATAAGCATACAGTAAGCAAGTAAGTCCAAGGAGAAAGAAAAGGAACCAGGGCTGATTTTCTCACCCTTCCCCAACCCAGACCAGCTGATTCATTACAGACGTATACATGCACATGTTGAAACATTCTCCTGTACTGAATCATAGCAGGAAGAGCTACTAGACAGAACACCTAAGGAATGTCAAAGGCTGCACAGGGAACAAAAGCCTACTAATCCCATTAGGAAGCTTCCCCTTGGTATATGATTCTATATATGCAACACCAGAGAATGAAAAAGGGAGCTTCAAAATAAAAACCTAGCAACGAGCATCAGTTTAGACTTGTGAAACCATAAAGTAAAAACACGCAAGTGAATTTTAGAGATTACATCTTGCACTCTCCCAGTGGCTGCCTGCTATAGTGGTACAGCATATACATGAGCAAAGTCAGCAGAATAATGTGTTTTGACTATCAGCTGAAGTCACCGAGTCATTGCTTCTGAAGCTACCTTGAGAGTCAGGTATTTGGAGCACAAGTTCATTTTGAGGTTTGGAGGAGGCATGAAACAGAAGATATATCCTATTCTATCCTACTCCTAACAAGCCCAACACTATTCAGTCCCTCTTTGAAAGTGAATGTTACTGTCACCTGCCATGATATGCAGGTCTACATATAATTACAGCTGTAAGTTTCCAGATTTAATTAAGAGTCAAGCCTAAATAGTATGGAGTACAGGGAAAGGCAGCCATATAAAACTAACAGCAGAAAAGCCACAGTGCAAGTAACAGGAGACAATGCATACAGAGCCTGGTGCAAGCTGTGCTTGTGACTACAAGTGCAATAATCTCATTTCTGTCTCTCCAAACTACAAAGGAAGTTTGCAAGAAAGACGAGAACTAAACTTCCCTAATTGCTACAATACTCACATGGACAGAGTTCCTTTTACTGCACCTTCAAATAAGGAACAGGGCAAAAGCCTACCTGGGAAGGGCCAATGCCCAAAATCAGAGCATGACCTCGGGCAACCCGTGAAGGTTTTTAACATGTATATACTTTTCTCTCTCACACGGACCTTAATACTTTCATACTCCTGAGCATGTCTAAGCAGTACAAAATCGTACAACTCTATTCCCAGATTTCATGCCTCAAGATGATGTAAAAGCTCTACGAGCCTAAAAAAAATAATATTTTTTTAATAAATACATATATTTTTCTAGATTCATATGACAAAAACCTTCAACAAAATCAAAAATCATATATGATTAATTTTGGCAGTGGACTCCATTTCAGAACAAGCAATTTGTGTATATGTAATTTGCAACACCTGCAGATTAACTGCAGCATAATCAATAACTTGCTAGCCATGCTAACCTACAGAATAATTGATTTCTCACATCTAACAGCAAATTTGCGATACACCTTTCCTTTCAGTCACAGCAAAAGAGCCCCTTAAAGCAACATCAGTTAAGGAACAAAGAGACACCTTATTGCAGAACTGCAATAGTCCATTTGCTTTAAGCTGAAACATGACCTCCCCAATGAACCTCAACTGGTATTGGAAAGAACAAGCAACACAGCTCAGCATACAAGACTCAGTCCAAAAACCTCCCAAATCAGAAAGGAATCCTTGCCATCAGAGTCACAAGGCAGAGTATCTGTCTTGCTCTACCATGAAGAAGTTTGGGAAGCTATTTTACCAGTGGTCCCTACATCAGCCTATTAAATGCACTAACACTAAGCACAGAACAACTTAAGGAGGATGGTATGTCTTCACAATACAAACTCTTTTACAAGGAAAAATAAATTACCTTTAATGCAATTGTATTGTCTGGCAAATAAAGACTCAGATGGCATTCAAGGATCTCGAGCACTAATCTCAGACTAAAATTACCCACTTAATCTATAGTCAAAAAGATTACACTGACCATATACAGGTTAAAACCTGCTGGAATTGAAGGATTACAGAAAGGGTTGTAGCTTGAAATACTAATACACGAACAGTTTGGAGACACAGATGAGAAGGTGAACTCTTTACTGGCAAAGCTCCCCTTCCAATTTTTTCAAAATTTTCCATGCACTTTACCATTTTAAATGTTCTTATGATGCAGTGCAAAGCCTGCACTGGATCTCTACAGACTGGCTTTCCTCACTGAAGACCTACTCTTGCAACCTTTCCACGTCAGAGAGCAGGACAGGAGCTAAACACCCACTGATCAGAGACAACAGTCATCAGGATCTGAAAATGCTCAACGTCCCCCTGCTCTCCATCCCAATTAAGTGAACGTATAGACACCACCATACAGGCATGTCAGGATCTCTATGAAAAAACAGTTCCTATCCTTTCCCCCCGACATAGCGGGGAAATTCAGAGTATATCAAAAACTTTCTTTTATCATGCACACAAGACTCAGAAACACGGCAGGTAAAGTTCACATCAGAGACTGCAAACACTAGCATTCAGATCTTTCAGCAGGCTCCTGCAAATGCCACTTGCTCAGCATCATTAAGAAAGAGCCGATAACGATGATTAAATAGAGGGAAACATTAAAAACCCACCCTATAGTTACACCTATGTTGAAGGCTACAGACCATATGCAGAGGGAAGGAACAGATCTCTGTGTGTTACCCAAGCCCACTCACAGCCCCACAGACATAGTGACAAATACTGCTGTTAAAAAAAAAAAAAAGTAAGACAGACTCGCTAACAGCTACTGAATAAGGCACTCAGCATTTCACCCCACTAAAATAGAAGATTCAGCAGAGCCATGCCATTTCTCAAGAAGCACTTGCAGACTTCATGTATGCTGGTCTTTAACTGTTCCAGTAACGCTGCCTTTATCATCACAATGTCATCTATTGAGAAAAATGCAAAGCACGCCAATTCACATTTAAGATAAGCTAACATACTTCCCCAAACAGAACAAAGATACATATCTATGCATATCTTTTTCCTCCACTGTGGTTGCTGAGATGAGTTCACACGTGGACTAGTAGAAAAAACTTACAAGCCATTATGATAATGGACTAACAGGCAGTGTTTCCATAAACACATCCTTTTGCAGTTTCTAACTATTAGCTCAGTCTAGAATCTTACAGGAATATAAAATGTATAAATGACATCTCAGATTTCACTGTTTGGTGTTGGAAATTATGCAAGCCTCAAATACTTCAGCAGAGGTAATTTACAGTCAGTGAGCAAATGTTCATCTTGAACAACATGAGTCAACTCCCTTCAGGCATTTTTTCCTTAGAAATAATACTTGTATGTAAAAGACAAGAAGTGGTCAGTAAATTACAGATAGAGATTTTATCTAGGAACAGAGGTTGAGCGACTTTGATTTATAATTACACTTCAACAGACTACTTGTCACAGCAGACCAGTAGTAAACACAACTTTAAGACTAAACAACAGACTCCTTGCCCTACTTCTTCACAGCTCTGCAGCATGCAGCTCAGAGCTTAAATCAAATGAAAAAAAAAAAAGTATTTTCAAATTACTGACACGTCCCTGATGTAGAGTCATTATAATTACATGGTCGTGGCTGCGTTTTTGTCCAGAATCAGTGTAACAGCTGAGGGAGAGGAAATCTGCTAAACATCCCACTGATTTAACTTAAACCGCTCTCAATTGCTAAATCAGCAGCGATATCATCAATTCTGCAGAGCCAAACCATGACCCTACCTAAAGTCCTCTAGCACAAACTCAGTGGCTACCTAGGACCTGGAGAGAGATGGAAAGCAGAACACGCTGCTCCTGCTAGGAATGCACTACCGCTCACCACATGAAGACAAAGAAACCCAACTCTAAATTCTCCCCAGCTCACTTCGTCTCAACGGCTGAACGACTCCATCTCTAAAGACAGACTTGCAGGATTTCTATACCAGCCTGATAAACAGTACAAGAAGTTAAACTGCATTCAGTTTCCTCTACAGAGCAATAACCACGTGCAAACGTTCCCGTACCAGCGCAGGAAGAGCAGCAAGGCGCTCGCTCCCTCCCCTGCCCTGCCTCACGCCGGCTGAGGGATGCTCCGGACGTCCCGGGGCCCCGAGGGGGAACCTGAAGCCCACTGAGGATGCCAGCAGCCTTCCTAGCAGGAAGGCTCCTTTCCGAG